TCCAACACGTCTCACGAGTATGCCGCGGCTTCTTGCAATAATCACAGAATACAGACTCCTTAGCAACAGACGGAGGAGGCAGGCTAAGACCATCTCGAGGAGTAGACAGTAATGCGGAACGGTCAGTAGAGACTGGGGACATCATAGCAGACCGGCGACTCTCCTCATTTTGTACATAGGAAAATGCCTCCTGAAGTGAAGGAAGAGTATCCATACTCAAAACTCGACCCCTAACTGGATCATATTCCACATTTAAGCCGGCCAAAAATTTAAAGACCCGTTCCCGTGAGATGAACTTTTTGTACCCGATAGAATCAGTAGGGCAAACGGGCTTATAGTCTTCCAGGTGGTCAAGGCGTTTCCAGCCGTTGGTGAGGAAAGTGAAGTACTGAAGAACAGTCTGCTCCCCCTGAAGTGTGCTCTCAATAGAGCGACGCAACTCAAATGCCTGTGAAAAATTTCCTTTGCGGGAATAGGTAACAGCCACAGCCTCTGGTAATCTCCCATTGGTCATAACCTGAGTCAGTGGTACTAGGTGCCTGTATCCTGCCATCAACATACCCCATCTTCCCTCTGCTTTTCAAAAACAAAGTCAAACTTTGAGACCATGCTAGGTAGTTCTGACCATTAAATAGAGAGATGGTGATTTTCAGACTAGAGTTGGGGTTTTCAGTCATGGTAGTAGGTAGAATGAGACTCTCACTTTTTGGTGTTTGAGAAGAAGGGGACACACTGGTGGAATCTGTCATGGATACAATACTACCAAACCCGCAACAAAACTACTGGCAATCACAAACCCGGAAGGTGGTGGTGAAAGAACAGGCACAATGACTACTTATAAGAGCATAACAAATTTAAGAAATCATATTTTTTTTTTTTAATTTTATTTTATTTTTTTTTGTTTTGTTTTGTTTTTTGTTTTTTTAATTTATTTATTTATTTATTTATATATATATATATATATATTTTTTGTTTATATATATATATATTTACTGATTGATTTATATATATATATAGAAATGTTTACTGATTTACATATATATATATATACATATAGTTATACATGTATTAGGACGGTGGTATACAAAACAGAGGGTATATCATACATACACAGAGACGAGCGACTGATGAAGACGAAGACGACTAAGCCGAAGCCGATGAAGCCGAGCGATGATGAAGACGAAGACGAAGACGAGCGACTGATGAAGACGAAGACGAAGACTGATGAAGACGAAGGCTGCTGGCGACTGATGAACTGAGGGACGGAGGGATTGAGGAACTGAACGACGACTGCTTACGAACTGGAGAACGACCCAGCAGAGGACCAACCTAGGTAAGATCGAACCCTAGAGCTGAAGCTCTGATACCATGAAGCTTGAGTAACCAGCTTAGGGTATGATAGAATATCACCCCCTATTTATAAATGAAGATTAGGGTTTACAAGAAATATTACAATTACAAGATGATCCCTGAGGGCATAAAATGATTACAGACCCTAGTGTAACTTTCGGCTAATATAATATGCTAACACTTTCGGCTAATATAATATGCTAACAAATAGATCTTCCATTTGTGTCTATGTGAATCCAATTTTAGTTGAATTGAACTTGTTAATATAAATTTGCCACACATGAAGGTTTGCATTAGTATTTGTAACACTATGACTCCAGACTATGAGATGTTTTTTTCTCTGGCATTTTTGTTACACCCAAATGCATAAGGAGAAGCCAAACATGAGTGAGAAACTGTCCACCACGTCTAAGCTCTTGTATATGGTTCTGCACTGGGCAACTTTTTGCAGCATAGCACAACATTTCCACCCACACACTACTCATGATCTTCCATCTATCCTCATTCTCCATCAAACCATGAGCTAGTTTTTGTATGTTGCTTACTGTCTGATTGCTGGACTCATTACGCAATAGCTTATAAGGTTGGGCAGATCCATCATAAAATTCCTTCACCTTAGTATAAGCCTGCATAAACTTGGTATAATGGATAGATAAGGGTAAACTAGGACATATGAACAAAAGATACATCATGTAATATGACAATATTTTAGTTGCTTCCATTTCCTTTGTGACTGTTGTAGAACCATTTGCTACTGAGTGATAGCAAATATTTGTAGCAACATGCCAAATGATAATACTTTCTTCAAATTGTAGCTCAATAATCCACTTTGAATCCAGATATTTATGCTTTTCAAGTGTCTCCTCAACTATTTTCATGGTTGAAACTTGCAAATTGTCAACTTCAGAAATGTTCTTTGCTTTTTCCCCAAGCTAATTGATTCTTTCAAACTCGATTCGACTGAACTGAATGGTAGGCATGATTTCTTCCACATTGATTCCCTTCCACGCATAGCCTCAACCAATTTATTAAACCTTTTGAGCTTATTTTTGCCGCAAAAGTTATTGATATTGAGTGAATAGATCTTCCATTTGTGTCTATGTGAATCCAATTTTCGTTGAATTGAACTTGTTAATATAAATTGTTGGATGTTTGTTCCTTATATGGTTATGAAATCCATGTTCTAATTATTTGGTGTAACTCAATTTCCTAGAATTTGTTATTTCTTCTTCTCTTGTTTTTTCCTTTTTTATGCAAAAATGTTGTTAGGGAATATCAATATGATTGTGTGTGTTCTAATTTATGTTCTTTAGGATTTTTAAGCATTGATAATGTCGGAAGTTGGAGCAAACTCTCAAGCAAACTCCCAACTACCCGTTGATGGTATACAACCATCAATATCGGTTGAGAGTGAGACCTCTCTACCATCACAGCCTCCATTCCCCAATCGAAGTTTCCTTTATGTAGAAACGCTACTGCTGCTGTTGAGATGCTGCTGCTGCTGCGGCGGCGGTTGCTCCTGTTGAAATGCTGCTGCTGCTGTTGGAGTGTTGCTGTTGTAAGAAACTTGTAAAGACTTAGAGTTGAAATGTCAAAGAATGCACTTTGTTGAATTGGGAGTTGAAATGCCAAAGAATGTGCATTGGGAGTTTACTGTGTTTTGCTTCTAGTTGAATTAAGCCTTACTATGAGCATCTAACTACTTCAATAATTTTGTGCAATTCATTTATGATGTTTACAATTACACAGATAGATACTTTGACATACATGTGTATTTAGACTGAAGCTGATAAAAAAAATGTGTATTTAGACTGAAGTTATCCATATATGGATTTTGGTTGGTAGAGATCAGCAAACAATTCTTTATTTATGCTTGACATATATGTGTATTTAGAGTGAAGTTATCCATATGTGGGTTTTGGTTGGTAGAGATTAGCAAACAATTTTTTGTTTATGCCCTGATGCAATTTAATATGGGTCTTATAACACTTTCTTTAAACAGGTACTTCACATTTTATTTCTTCAAATAGGCTCTTATAACATTGTAAACAGGTTCTTATAACATTGTAGGGGAGTGAGAGAGAGAGAGATGGTTGTAATTTTTTTTTTTAATCTTCCACGTTTTTTCACATTTTTTTTTCAATTACTAAAACTTATTTGATTGTCTCAAAATTATATATTTGATTATTTTAAAACAAACTTTTTAATTAATTAATTAATGTGTATTTGATTTTGTCGTTGAACCAAATAAAATAAAATAAGATTGAATGTATGTTTAGTTTTTGTTGTGAACCTTTAAAAAAAAAAATTTGGTTGTTAACATTAAATATAAATAAATAAATAAATAAATAGATGGGGGCCAAGGTATGTTGGAGAAAATCCAAACCTATTAGGAGATGGGGAGGGTGGTACCGTGGATTGTCTCAAAATTATATATTTGATTATTTTAAAACAAACTTTTTAATTAATTAATTAATGTGTATTTGATTTTGTCGTTGAACCAAATAAAATAAAATAAGATTGAATGTATGTTTAGTTTTTGTTGTGAACCTTTAAAAAAAAAAATTTGGTTGTTAACATTAAATATAAATAAATAAATAAATAAATAGATGGGGGAAAAAAAAAAAAATTAGTTGTTAACATTAAATATAAATAAATAAATAAAAATGGGGTCAAGGTGGGTTAGGGAAAATCCAAACCCATTACGAGATGGGGAGGGTGATACCCATGAAGAATGGGGAGTGGGGAAAATTTATTATAGGAGAATGGGGATGAGAAATTAATATCCACCCCATTAACCCCCATTACCATCCCTACTGATAAGGGCACAAGGAGAGGGGGATCAGGAGTAGCATTGGCCTGCAAACGGTAGCATTGGCCTGCAAATGGTTTAAGAAGCACATGCGTATGTATGTAGTTTTAGTAGTTATATATAATTATATTTTTTATTTTAGTTTCTCACTCTTAAACACAAAGTAATAGGTCCTAGGCCTATATATTCATAAATGCATATAAAACCTGCTTGCTTTCTTGTGTTTTGTAGTGAGAAAAAGATATGAGGAATAAGTTTATAGGTAGAATCTATCACTGAAATTCTTAAGGGTTGAGTTCCTCTCCAATGGTGATTCCACTAGATAAATTTGGTTGTCCAATTTTATAAGATAAGTGTGATATGATCATGTAATTATCAATATTTAATTAATTTAATTTTTTAAATAAATTAACTTATCTACGGATCGTAAAAATTGAAAGGTTCCAATCAATTAGGTGGTCCTAAAGTGAACCGAGGAGCCCAACCCAATAGCACGACTCCAATTAGATCACCAACTCAAAAAATAAAAAATAAAAAATTCTTCGGATAATTTGCCAAAAAATTAGATATAGGAGTAGACTTTGAAGCATTTCAAGGGTGTTCCATTTTTTTTAGATAACTAAAAAAACATACTAGCCATGGTCAGTCTGCAATGTGAGCTTTGAAATTTATGAGAAAACCTTTTTGGAAAACTCTTTTAGACCAGTCTGTGATCTTTTAAGTTTGGCTTCATTCACGTAATATATCCTATGTTCTTTCTTTTTTTTCTTATATATATATATATATATAACAAATTTGGTAACTTGTTTAGACAGGATTTCCACTAATTTTACAGAATATGCTGTCAAATGCAAGTGTTGATCCTGTCTCCCTTCACTTAGATGAAAAGCTTACACACCTATGTGGTAAAGACTTGTGTTATATCTACAAAGTGCATGATCGACTACGTTGGCAAAATGAAAAGTTATATGAACCAGAAATAATTGCTATAGGACCATATCACCATGGTAAAGACAACCTACAATGGATGGAAGAACACAAATTACGGTATCTGCAATTGCTTCTTAAACGAAGAAATGAGACTAGTGTGGATAGATACATAGTAGCCATGAGAGATTTGCAAGAACGAGCATTTAGATGTTATGCAAACTCTGTATGGCTTAACAAAGACGAGTTTGTGAAAATGATGCTTCTTGACAGTTGCTTTCTCGTTGAGTTGTTTCGCAAATTTACCATAACAAGTATGAGAGATAGGAATGACCCACTCTTCAAAATTGATTGGATACTTCCAAGTATATGGCGCGACTTATTGTTATTTGAAAATCAACTTCCATTCTTTGTTCTTGTGCAATTGTTCGATATGACCAAAAGTTCTCGACCCTCATGACAATATCACTGATTTAGCCATTCGATACTGTTGTTGTGTCAATCAATATTTATTTTATAGTGCATCGCCAGGTCTTGAAAAGATTTTGTATGCTTATAATGGAATTTCAACTTGTGGTGTGAAGCATTTTCTTGGTCTTGCACACCAAATTACATCTTTTTCACTTTTGAAATCAGTACCTCTAACAAGTGTCATCGCAGACAAGAAAAAGATATGGGAACACATACATTGTGCCACAGAGCTACGTGAGGTTGGGATCAAGTTCAAGAAATCTAAGCACGATACGTTCTTTTATGATGTAAAATTTAAACATGGGGTATTAGAAATCCCGACATTCGTCATACATGAGAAGACATAATGTCTTTTTAGAAATGTAATTGCATATGACCAACATCATCTCAAAGAGGACATTGGCCTCAAATATATCACTGATTATTTAACTTTCTTGTGTTGCCTCATTAACTCGTCACAGGATGTCTCCTTGCTTTGTCCCTGTGGAATTCTCAAAAACATGCTAGGTGGTGATGAAGCGGTTGTGTCAATTCTTAACAAGATTTCTACTTGTGCCCTTGCACCTTGTGACAATTTTTATTACTCTCAAGTATTTTACAACGTAAGCGAGTATAGTAAGCAACGTCGGAACATATGGACTGCGATGTTAAGGCGTAATTATTTTAACAGCCCTTGGACAATCATTTCGTTTCTCAGAGCTATTATGTTGCTTCTACTTACTTTGACACAGACAATGTTTTCCATTCTTGCTTACATCTGTAATAGAGGTTGTTGAGCCCATGGAAAAACTTTTAAGTGAGATTATTTGAAATCTTGAACTATGTTCTTAAGAAAGTTGGAAGGTGTTTGATAAAATTTTCCAAAATTACACAAAATGATGTTGCATAATTATAGATTTAGCATTTAAAAACAAAAAGAAAAAGGCATTGAATATTCTTTATATTTTGTCATATTTCATTTTGTGGGTCTCACATTGGGCCCATAAGATGATTGGAATTGTTTATCTTATAGTCCTTATAATGAAGACTGTAAGAAGTGAAACTTAAAAGTATGAAATTCAAATCTCCTGCCCAAACTTTGAAGGCTAGAAGTGGTACAAAGAGTTCAAACCACGAAATTCTCGGGACAAACTTTTGGACTTGAAATGGTTCAGAACCATGAATCCAAATATCCTTTGCAACCGGACTCGAAAAGGTTTAGAGCCATAATTTACATGTTAGAGCCATGATGTGACGAGTTTGAAAATGGACCTTTTCTTGAAGACGGAGAGCTCGAAGATAAATTCATTCATCACTCAAATTAGTCTTTACTCAAAGTCGAGGTAGCAAGACTTGGGAAGTCCCCTTGGACTTGGTATCATATGGCAGGAAGTCCCTTGGACCACACCTAACCTTTATCTTGGGATGGTGGGAATTGTTGATTTGGTGGCTAAAATCAAAGGTTTGTCAAGATAGTTTATAAAACCCTCTTACATCTTATTGTTCTCGGGGATACCTGAGGAGAAGACACTGGTTGGGCATTGCAATTATCTCGATCAGGCAGTTAGGAAGGGAATTTCTCGTGTGGTCACATGGAAACACATGGCATCACCATAATCAATCGCTTGGACTTCAAGCCAATCTTGGGAATGTATACACCCATCCATAGCTCATGATTCAGAACCAACATAGTAGCGAAGTTAGAGAGTTGAGATGAAAGAGTGATCTTTCATCCAAGCACCATTTCTCTCAATCCGTTGGAGAAGATGAATCTTTCTCATGTGCTCATTCGTTTATCTTTTATGTTTCCTCTCTCTAGTTTTCTTTCTTTGATCTTTCATCCAAGCACCATTTCTCTCAATCTCTTCTTGAATCTAGTTTGATTATCAACAAATCAAGCCTCTCTTTCATTTTCAGAAAAAATATCTTCTCCGACGGGTTTCTGGCAAAATCCATCACTTCCGGTGAGCTTACTAGAACCCATCTCATATAAAGACTAACTGTACAAAGAATCAGTTTCGTCATATATCAATTAATATATGAACAATTTATATTTTGTTTTACAAATAGATTGTTTAAGTTTAAATTTATAGTTGGCATCTATTTTAAAAATTATAACTGTTCGTGTGCCTAATAATGTCCAATAAAACTAAATTTTTAGACAGCTTATCTTTACACCTTCCATGTCATTATACTACTAAAAAAAAAAATGATTCTTATTACACCTATTATACTATCAAAACTAATCCTAAACTAAAACTCTTCAACACCCTTTCAATTTTGTCTCTTTACACCATAACTTTTAGTAATACAATGTTAAAGAATTTGAATTACTCCACTGTCATATTACTAGACAAACTAATTTTTTCAGCAATTTGTTGTCGTTCGATTGGATGATTTTACTTTACTTTAACAATAAATTAGTTAGAGCCCATTGTTAAGTGCCTGTTCGGTGATATATTACTACATAAATTAGCTTAATCTAGTGTTATGTTGCCAAACTAAAATAAATTTATCCAGCCACCTGTCAGTTTACGTGCATTGTAGATTGTCTTTATTGTTGTCACATTAAAGGCATCCTTTTGTTTCAATGTAATCAATATCTCTTTTAGTCGCATCATACTCTTTGACATGTCAACTAATAAGGATGTTTCCTCCTCAGATAATCTACTAGCAAATGAATGCCTTTCAAGATATTCAGTAGCCAGATGATTATACTTGCATTGCTGTAATGAATAGAAACATAATCCTTTCAAGCAAATAACAAAAATATTTATAAAAAAAAATGAAATGGAAATGCACAGTAGTGAGTAATCGAACAAATTAAAAATGTTTGGCCTTGGATTACCATAAATGTATATTTTATTCGGCAGTGGATTACTGGATATATATTTTTTGTTCGGCAATGTGATTCCTGACTATTTTATTTTATTCGATTTTGACACACCGAACAAAAGTTGAACAATTCTCTCAAAAAAACAAAACGAAAACTTACCAAACAAATTAAAAAAAACTCACCATTTCATATATATATTTTTTATGGTTCTTCACCATCGTTTCTTCATCTATTACTTTCTTCTATGATCAAAATATTATTGATTCTCACTTTTTGAAAAGAGCTATGTAGCAGAGAAAAAAAAATTGAGAAGGGAAAAAGAGCCGTAAGAATTGAAGAGCAGTGGGTGTAAAGAGATAATAAAATATATTTAATTTTAATCTTTTGTCCTTAAAAGTAATTTCACACATAGAAAAAATTAGAAGAAAAAAAAATCTAATATGAAAGATGTAAAGAGATAAATTAGTGGTATAAGTAAAATCACTTATTTTTAAAATGAATGATTCAAATTATAATTATGAGTTGAGATAATAATAGCCAAAAATTAAAATAAGAAGGATAACGCAGAATAACCACTTGAATTATGGTTGTAGGCACGGAAAGCCATTACCAAATCACTAGATAAAGTGAATTTTTTCCAAAAATAATGTTTGAAATTTAAAGTTACATTTGGTTGAAAGATTTGAGAAGGAATTTGAAAAAGAAAAAGAAAAAAGTGTGTGAAACTAAATGAAATGTAGATATATTTTATTCACATTTTACTTACCTTTTCTCTTTCCGTCTTCAAACCCTTTCTTTCCCTTTTCAAATCATATCCCAAATCTCCAACCAAACACAATCTAACACTCTGTTTTGATAGAGTAAATAAGAGAAAATAAAGAAAATTGTTGTATTTCATTTTTTCAAAATAACCTTCCATATTAATAAGTTATGTGCTTTTATAAGGGTAATTTTAGTACTTTAAAAACCTTTCATTAAATCCAATTCATTTCTCACCAAATTTCACCATTTTTGATGAGAAACAAAATATAGTTTTGGTGAGAATTTTTTTTCACCATCTCTCATTATTTCTCACATATTTAACCATACAAACAAGTGAAGGGATTTCCTATTCTCACCATTTCTTTTCTTTTCTCACCAAACCCGTCCATCAAAACAGAGTGTAAGAGCATCTTCATGGCAAGCTAGTGAAGCTGCAATTGCCAAAATTTGGCAAGAGTCTCCAAAAACCTTGCTCCAGTGGGCTACTACAACCCCTCTCAAATTTGGCAATTGCCAAACTTGCCATATCATCCAAATAAACAAAATTTGATTCCAAATTCCCATGGAACAAACAAACACAGTGAGAAAAATCTAGCAACAATACAATAATATATAAAAAAAAAAATTACTATCTTTCAAATTTTTGATCCTAAACTAAAACTCTTCAACACCCTTTCAATTTTGTCTCTTTACACCATAACTTTTAGTAATACAATGTTAAAGAATTTGAATTACTCCACTGTCATATTACTAGACAAACTAATTTTTTAAAATGTTTTTTTTTTTTTTTCTTTCTTCTTTTTTTTTTTTTTTTTTTACTAAAAACGGAAATTGTGGGGATTCGGGGGACCCCCATTTCGGGGGACGAAGCACTACCCATATATATATATTAACAAAATTAAATCAACAACAACAACAATCATTACAAAAACAATAATCACAAATAATAATCATAACAACAATAATTAAACAATTTTAGAGAAATTTCAATCAATTTCTCACAAAGTTCAAGCAATCTCAAACAAAGCAAAAGGAATCTCAACTAATATCAAGCAATTTCAGAAATGTAATTTCACAAAAATAAATACTTGGAAAGGGGTTTGAAGTTTCTTCATCTTCTTCACTCAATTTCATCCTCTTCATCTTCTTCAAATTGAGATTTTGTTAAACTTCTAAAATGAAAGAGATGAACCTAAATGATGAAGATTTGAATAAACCTTGATGGATCGAATGAACTCCTACCCCCTTTTGGCCCTTGATGGATTCGAACGAACCCAGATTGAATGAACTCTAACCTAAAAACACACAATCGTTGAAGTGGAGAGATGGATAATAGAGAGAGAGAGAGAGAGAGAGAGAGAGAGCTGAGATGAACTGAGAGATGAAAGAGAGAGAAAATAGAAGTTTTTGGAGAAAGAGGGCAGGAGAGAGCTCTGGAGATAAAAAGAGAGGAGAGAGCTTGGAAGTCTCTGAAATTTCTGGAAAGAGTGAGATAGAAAGAAATATAATTTATTTTTTAATCTATTTTAATTTTTCAACTTTTAATATTTTTAATAATTTCTAGTATTTGTAATTTTTAGTATTTCTTTTCAATATAATTTTTTCTCTTTTTTAATTTTTTATGTAGTTAATAATTTTTTTTAAAAATTTGTAGGGGTATCGAATGGTACGGTGAATTATTATTATATTTATTTTTAATTTTTTATATTTGCCTAGGTTGATAGAATGTAAATATTTAATTTTCTTTTTAAAAATTAAAAAGGTCATAAAAGGCAAAAATATAAATAATAAAAAAAAATCACTCAAAAACCTATATCTAAACATCACCTAGAAAACTAAAGGAAAAATTAGTTAAAATTTGTCAAAATAGCTTGTAAGCTTTGGAACCTTATTGTTATAATTTAATAATTTACTATTATATAGTTGTCAAATTATATTTTTGACCATGCCATTATAACATTTGCCAATTGGATATGGTCTAAGAGTATTTACAACGTTTATTATTGTTTTTCATTAAATTTGAATAAAAATTTCATTTGATATCGCGCGTTCTGACAAAGTAATTTGAAATTTCTTCAAATCACCAGTCGACCCGGAGGATGACCGAAAGATATCTGGCCGTTCAACCGGCCAGTGTAAAATTTTCAAAATCTTGAAACAAATTTTACAAAGAGGTAGTCGACCAAGGGACAACTAGTCGTACATTTAACCGGTCGTCCAATACTCATGTATACTTGTAAAGCTAATAATTATTTATAGTAATTTAAATAATTTAATAAAAGATTTAGGGTTGGTTTGGGATATCCTAAAAAAGTGCACTTTTTGACTTATTGGTGGGTTTGGGTTGGATTTGGGTTGGGTTTGATGTGATGTGTTAGAGAGGTGATGTGATTTAAATAAGATGATGTGGCTTAAATAAGATAGTGACTTTTTGACTTATTTAGTACATGCCAAACTCGCCATTAGACATTCAATTTGACGAAAGATCTAAAATATTTGAATTTAATATTAATTTGATGGAGTATAATTTTTACCAAATTTAAATTTAATGAAAGGTTTCCATTTTATCACGACCATTACCCTCCAAGGTCCCCGAGATAAACCCTGTCGTTTTTACCTCCAATTCCACCTCCTCTCTGTTTCACTCCCTCCCCCCATTGCGAGAGAGATTGCTAGTAGAGACCATGAGGGTGCGCCAAACCCCTTAAAATGTGCACTCCACTGACCACTCTCTCTCTAACACAGCTCAATACCCTTCTCTTTAGATCCTAATCTTCGAACAACAGTTTCTTTCTGAGAATCCATCATAGATTGTTCAAGCAATATCAGATTTTGAGGTGAATATTTTGTTCTTTTTAATCATCTGGGTACCTTCCAAACACAAATCTTTGATGGGTTTTACTTTTTTTCAAATATTTGTATGTATTGGTGGAATAATTGGATTGGTTTGTTGAGTGTATCTCTTGTTTTGATCGTTTGATGTGATTATGTTTTTTTTTTCTTTTTGTTCTTTTTAATATGTGGGTTTGTAATTAATTGACTGTAGGGATTTTAGGAATGGTTTGGTTTACTAATGATTGTTAGTGTGTGTGTGTTTTTTTTAATTATTAATTATTTAGTGTTTAATGTTTATTGCTTTATTGGACTGCTTTGGAACGGTTTTTTTTTTTTTTCCTGATCTTTAGGATGTTTGCTTAATGCTGTGTTTGATTGGGAGATTTGAGAAAGAATTTGAAAGGAAAAGGGATTTTATTTATATTTCACCTAACTTTTCTTTTTTCCTTTCCAAATCCCCCAACCATATACAGGGTAACAGTCCTCTTGGTAAGTTAGGTAAGGAATGAAAGGAAAAGATTATGGTAGTGAGGAAAAGAAATAACTGCAGTTTCTCACATTATGTTTAGATGAACATGATAGAAAGAGGACTCTATTGGTGTTCTTCTTTTTCTTTTTCTTTTTCTTTTTCTTTTTAATTTTAATTTTTAATTTAGATGGACAATTTAGGTATTATAAATTTTTTACCTTTCTCACTAAATGGCATCAAGTTTGGTGAAAATAGAACATGAGTTTTAAAAGACTTCACTTTCTTTCAATTTCTTCCTTTCACATCATTTTGCCTCTCCTCATTCATCCAAATAAGTGGTAAGATTTTTGTTTCTCACCATTTCTTTTCTTTTATAGTCAAACCCCTCAATCCAAACGGGATATGGATTTGGTTTTATTTCTTTTGGTGTTTATAGTTTTCCTGGATTGGTTTTAGGAATTAATGGCGAAAAAAGTTAAGAAGAAAGCCCGAAGTGGTCAAACAGAGAAGCGAGTTTCTACCCTTTCTCAGAAAACTGAAACTGTCACCCAGCATAGCATTCCAAGCACTGATAATGGACTTTCAGTCATAAAAGAGAGGAAAGTGTGTTCCCATCTTGATAAGGATATTGATTTAGCTAAATTTTCTTCAAGAATAAGGTCTATAGGACATATTAGGTGTGAAGATTGCAGAGGTGTGGTTGATAGGTGGGCAAGTAAGGGAAGGGGCAAGCAGGTGAAGAAGAAAGTGGGAGGTTCTGTGGACAAGAAACCTGAGTCTAAAGCAATTTGGGTTTGTTTGGAATGTGGTCATCTTTCATGCAGGGGGATTGGATTCCCAACAACCCCTCAAACCCATGTAGTTCGGCATGCCAGGCAATCCTGTCATCCATTGGCTATCCAATTTGAAAACCTTCAACTACGCTGGTGCTTCCCTTGCAATACACTTATTCCAGTTGAAAAATTGGAGGAAAGTGGTGAACAGAAAGATCCGCTGTCGGATATTGTGAAACTGATAAAGGGGTGATCATTTCAAGGGGGCCTCGGTGGATGTCGAGGATGTTTATTTTGGGAGTGGCAGTGTTATAAGTGAGATAAAATCAAAAAACACCGTAAGTAGTTTGGATGGAAAAAGTGGTTATGTGGTCAAAGGCTTGGTTAATCTTGGTAATACTTGCTTCTTTAATTCAATCATGCAGAATCTCTTAGCAATGGAGAGATTACGGAATCACTTCTTGGAATTGGATGAGTCTGTAGGTCCTCTTACCGTTTCTTTAAAGAAGCTCTTTACTGAAACTAGTCAAGAGGCTGGCTTGAGAAATGTGATAAATCCAAAATCCTTTTTCGGGTGTGTTTGTGCCAAGGCTTCCGAATTTAGGGGGTATGAACAGCATGACAGTCATGAGTTGCTTCGTTGTTTACTCGATGGGTTGTGTACTGAAGAGTTGAGTGCAAGAAAACAGACTATTCTCTGGAAAATGGGATTACCTCAAATCTGGGTCCTACTTTTGTTGATGGCATCTTTGAGGGCCAACTATCCAGTACTGTTTCTTGTTTGGTATGTGGGCACTCTTCAACAGTGTTTGAGCCATAGTTCTTCTATCATCTGTTACTGTTCTTACTTTCCTTTAAAATTCTCTAAATTTCATATTATGGGCAGTGCATGTCTTCTTTTAAGATGGGGTGCAGTGGATGCTGAAGCATACGCTGAAGCTGCGAGAAATGTTTTGCAAATATTGTGGGATGTTGGAACCTCCAGACATTCTGGTCATGGGTCTCTATGGGCAAAGGCCCGGGTCTCTGCTTACGATGCATTAACTCATTATGAGGTCAATTTTGTCAAAGTTGAGAACATACCTATTGGCTCATTGTTCCTTGCAGTTTTGCTTACTTCTGTCTTGTGTTTTATTTGAGCTGGTTACTGATTTTATGTTTTTTACTTCATGTGCGTTATGTATTCTCAGGTAGTACACATTCAAAAAAGCATTCCAGATTTTAAGAAAAGGAACATGGAACTGCTTACTTCTGAGACTGATCCTGAAGTACTATGGGCCATGGAAGTATTTGAAGTCAAGATTATTACATATGAGCACATGTAAATAAACATATTTATTAACATCTTTTGTCTGCTTCACATTTTGGAAATGTTTGAAGTGGCTAACTTGATAACCTTTTAACATTTTTCTTCAGCACACAGCGAAGATTTGTAAAGGAGAAAAGAGTCGCTGTAAACAAGATTGAGAAGTTGCTAGATGTTTCCCCTCAGGTTATTTTTGCGTCAGGTATAAGAAACAGATTGTTGCTTTGTAATCCTTTGGTTGTGTCTTTCTGAGAAAATGCTGGTGTTTTTTCTAGTCTCCGTTTTGTTGGAGATAAATTTCAAAATAAAAATAAATATAAAATTTCTTGTTTGTCATCCTTGTGACCTCTTACGATCTTCCTTCCATGTGTCTCTGGTTAAGTCTCTTGGTGCCCCGCATTGGTGGGACTAGTACCAGCAAGTAACCACACTTTCTGCTTCTAGTTCTTTGTTTTTTGATCGGCAACAAAATGAATTTTATTGAGAAAAAGAGGAAGAAAAACAAAACAGGACAGGGAGTCCTCTACAAGCAAACCTGTGACTGTGTACAAAACAAAACAAAAACCAAGTATTGCATACCAACACCCAGTCTCTAGAAATAAAAAACGTTCCTTGGTCATTTTAGTCTGGCACAATGTTTGAAGTACATGAATGTAAGAAAATACCAGAAAATGAAATATAATATTTTAGAAAAGAAGACTTCCAGAAGAGATTCTAAATATAGAAATGATGTGTTAAGTGAATAACTTCAGGAAAATCAGAAGAATGGGGCGCGGTTGATGTTATTGATTCTGAAGTAGAGACTTAATGATTTTGGTGAGACTCACATCTATGTAATCCTGATGCCCAGGTATTTATATGCATTTCATTTGCAGTAAATAGCACTGGAGCTAGTCAGTTACCTGGCGCAGCTCTATTTTGCCCTTCTTTGACTCCTAAAGACATGACCAAGGGGCAGCAAAAGTAAGATCACTACACCAATGCTTTATGCTGAAATCTTTTCATAGGGCCTTACCATACTTCTAATTCTTCACTAATTAGAGTTCAGGGACTGCAAGACGTATATGCTAAATACGAGAATGCACTTGTGGAGATAGCTGCATCTTTGCAGCTCTCGAGAAACATCCTGATTGCACTTCTTTCACTGCAATCTTGGAAACCCTTCATGCAACGTTAGTTGAGGGCTTGTGTCACCTTCCTTGATGCTAAGGCGAAATCCACTGTGTTGGATAAAACATCTAAAGCTGCCAATGGTATTCTGAAGGTTTGTTACCCTTCTAAAAGTAATGTCTGTACTGCACTTTAGTCACATCCAGCCCAATTTCCACGTATAATGCGTAAAGAATGATATGACACTTTATCCTTGCACATCTTTCAGATAATAAAACGGCTTGCAGAGGAATCAATTCCTAGATCTGCAGAAAACATTGCACTAGCTTTGGGCGCGCTTTGTGAGGTAAGAATTTCAATGTCATTATTTTTCCATTACAGTTAAGTTAGTGGGCATATGCTACTAATCGACTTTCGTGCTTTGGGAGGATTGAAGAGGGCCAAAGTGCTTTGGTATTGCACCGTCTTTGCAACTTTTTGGGTTTTATGGTTGGAAAGGAATGCATGGGTTTGGATAAAGTTTGGCACTTAACTTTATTTTGGGCTTCAGTGAATCCTCTTTTTTGGGGGATTCCACTGCTTTTGCTAGTTAGAGATTAGTTGTCGGTATGTGACATGTAGAGTTCTATTCTTTGTAGTCGTTTATTTTGGGTTATGTTTTTTTTCCTTTATTTTTCTTTCTTGAACAGGATGCCTTATCCTCATTTCTTATTTTTGATTAATCAATACAATTTTGTTGTTGATCCAAAAAAAAAAAAAATGTAAGCTACTCCATTGTAAGAAATAATAACCTTCAGAATAAGTTGCAATGATCAAATTGAGTTACCTGGTTATTAGCTAATAAACATTACCTAGACTTAATTGATTGAGTTTGCTTGCAAGTCATGCTCCCCAAACTTTGTCCATTTCATCAATTCTGATGATTCACCTCTGTTGGAGATTGTTAATCTTAAGCAGTGATATACTTGTAGTTAATTAGATTCCCCATTTAACATGCCTTGCTCAGTTCAGTCCTTAGAAAAACTTTTCTATTTCCAGGTCTTGCCTCCGTCTGCCCATGCTGTTAAATCAACTGCTTCAAAATTCCTGCTTGATTGGCTGTTCCAGTATGAGCACGAACATTGCCAGTGGTCAGCTGCTTTCCCTTGGATTGATCTCAAGTTGCTTGCATGTGACTGATCACAAGCAAAAATTCCAAAACATCGAAGCACTTATTCAGGTACACAGTTCTGGTGCCCAACTACTTGGAACATGTTGCTGTGAAGAAGTTTGCTGAATCAAATTATGGTTTTCAAAACATCATCATGTACCTTAAACTGTGGTCTAAAATCAAATTATCTTGATGCTTTGTTTCATAAAATTTCGTGGCTTAATTGAGAATATGGTCGTGGATAAACATTTTTGGTGGATGTGTAATATTGTTAGTGCTTTTATCTTGTGTTTCATTCCTCAATTGTCTTTTAAACTTTATCTCCAATTGTCTCCTCATTTCTGAGGATAATTTTTGTTGTAAAAAGAGAAGTTCTTAAAACATTTCCTCACTATTCTTTTCTCAACTCAGAAATCAGCCATAAAGCAGGAAGCAATGGAATTTTTTCTTTTCTCTTTTCTTAGGCATGTTGAACATAGGACTACTTAAAGAAATGTGATAATCTAAGAAGCATGGACACGGACACGCGACATGACACGACACGGACATGGACACGCTGACACGCTAATTTTCAAAAAATACAAGACACGACACGTGGGAGACACGCATAAAATATATAATTCTATATATATTTATTATATGTTATATATATGAATATATCATTCAAAGATAATGAAAAATATAATATGACACTAATTCCTATAAATTTATATGGTTTTTATTTTATTTTGTATCTTTGTTTTGTTCAAACTTATAATTAGTTTCACCTATGTCTAATTGATGGACACGTGTGTTTAAGCGATAAACACACGTGTCCTCCAAGTGTCCAAAGAATGTCCGGATCTTTAAGAAAAATTAAAAAACAAGACACGTTTTGAGGAGTGTCGGACACGTGTCGGGGAAGTGTCCAAAGAGTATCGGTGTCCGACACGGACACGACACGGATACGTCATCTTCTTAGAAGTGTCCGTGCTTCTTAGGTGATAATGATATGGAAATAACTTTACATAAATAGTGGTGTCTAATTTATTGTTTCATGGTCTGTGCTTTCAGGTTTCATCTTGTAGCAGAAGCACCCTTGTAAAAGGAGCTTGTGGAGTTGGAATGGGATTTTCATGTCAAGATCTTCTTACCTGGGTTGAAGCTTCTGATGACCCCGACTTGGAAAAAGAAACCTGTAAGATGCAGAAGTAGATTTACTTGGAAAAATCATTAGGGCCTTGTCTCAGATGATAAGTCAGTTTACTCCATCTTCATCTGATCTTCTAGAAAGTCTCTCTGTATATTTCCCACTGGGTACAGATGATACTGATTCATATGTAACTTATGAGTCATTGGATAAGAACTATAATGATTTGGAGGAAGATATATGGGGTATTGCAGGACTTGTCCTCGGTCTGGGGAGTTCTATTGGTGCAATATACAGATCTGGGGCCCATGATGTTGTGCAAACAATTAAAGCCTTTATCTTATCATGGATTCAACATTTGAATCATTCAGTTCAAAACTCTTTTTAGCAGTGAAGGTTTGGATATAGTATTATCTGTGGGATCTTGTCTTGCACTTCCGTCCATAGTGGCATTCTGCCAGAGAGTAGAACTGATGTATGATAATGAACTCAACCAGCTAGTGAGTGGCTTTAGGGAGCTCATTTCAGAACTAGTGTCTGTTAGGAAATCAGGCATCTTCCATCAGAGCTTGTTGATGGCATCTTGCGTTGGAGCAGGAAGCTTACTTGCCTGTATTTTGAATGAAGGTGTGCACTCTTTGAAAGTTGAAGTCATAAAAGATTTGTTGGCCCTGTTTCGGAAAAGTTACTCTAATCCTCACCCTCCTCTTACCCATTTTGGTGGGATGCTTGGTGTTGTTAATGCATTAGGAGCAGGTGCTGGGACTCTGGTTCCCAATTACCCTTTAAAGACTTTGTGCACCACTTATGACCAAAAGGTGATTATATTTTGCTGCATTACCAAACTCAGTGTTTCTTGAATTTTTTTTTCTTCTTTTTTTTTTTGACAAGTATTAATTGTTCTTTACAGGATTCTTTTTACATAATGGGTCCTTTACTTTCATGTCCTGTTTTTATATTTTGCTGCATTACCAAACTCAGTGTTTCTTGAATTTTTTTTTCTTCCTTTTTTTGGACAAGTATTAATTGTTTTTTACAGGATTCTTTTTACATAATGGGTCCTTTACTTTCATGTCCTGTTTTTATATTTTGCTGCATTACCAAACTCAGTGTTTCTTGACTTTTTTTTTCTTCTTTTTTTTTTGACAAGTATTAATTGTTTTTTACAGGATTCTTTTTACATAATGGGTCCTTTACTTCCATGTCCTGTTTTGGAGTCCCAGTTGACATCATTGGTACAAGAGATGTTTCTTGTCGCACGAAATTCCGATGATCATCAACTGCAACAATATGCAGCATGGGCAGTTTCATTTCTTAGACATTGTTTGTGATTCAGAGAATTGCAAAACACTGACAGTAGTTTCCCAAGTAACGCAGCTGGTCAAAAATCTGTATCTCAAAATTTTCCCAAGGACAATGTAGTCATGGAGCTCTCTTTGTGGCTAATGCATCTGAACTATCCTGGGGTAGGTCTCTAGTTGATTATGAGGAAATGTTTATTGAAGCACTCTATTGCTCGTAATCAAAGCACTTTATTCGTATATAGAAGAAAATATTTTATACTGCAATTACAACTGACACTCTTTAATGTGACATATATCTGCACTGCAGTAGAACTAGAGGCGAACTCGGGAGCTTCTGATTAATTTTCTTAGGCTCTTTATTGATTTATTTATTATTTTTATATCTCTATAGCCAAATTGTCTTTTGTAAGGTTTATATTGACTTATGTGGAAAGATGATTTACTTGCGTAACCTATTTAAGCTGGCTAGTATTCATGATGTAGATGTGAATATCCACATATTGACTTAGTATTGGGTAATTTATTTGTGGATATGCTGCTCCTCCATAAACATAAAGAGATGATTCAAGATTGCTGGTTCTTTTAAGGAAATCACATTATTAACTGATTCAACTATCAATCAGAAAACTATTTTCCTTTTCACTTCTTATGCAGAGTATTGAATTAAAATTCTCCGTCACCCCCCATGCCTGCGGTGGATGCATACAAATGGATGCATACAAATCTCTTCTTTTTTAATCTTTTCTGTTTTTTTCTATTTTACTTTACAAAATTCAGGCAGGTACCATTTCACATGTTTACACAGTTGCAACTGTTTTACGTTGCCTTTAACAAGCTCCCAGACTGCCAGCATTGGATTGGGGAGCAATCATCAGACGGTGCATGAAATATGAGGGTCAAATTGCTGAGTCATTGTCTCCAGATTTAGCTTTTATAAGTGGAAATCTTAGGGAGGAATGCCTGCAGTTGTCTTTAGCTCATGCAAACCAATTTGATCCACTCCTAAGCTTTCTTGATGAGCTGTCTGACCTGTCCATGTTCAGGACACTTGAGCTGAACCTTCAATCATGGTTTCTCTCTCATCTGGCAGACCTGATAAAAATATTCTCGGGTTCTAGGCTTGAGAAACTATTTGATGATATGGCTAGCTTTTTATCTTCTTTACTCTCTGGAGAAGTTTGTACCGTAGAACAGAAAAGCTTATTGCGGGTTTCATGCTGGAATGGCCTGTATCTTTGTATGGAAACTTCTCTTGACACTCGAGAGCATGTATCAAACATGGAAAATTGCATGGAGGTCCTCTTTTCTTCATTGCCTATATTGCACTCAAGCGCTATTCCATGAATGGAGCAGGTGCATTCAGTAGAGTAGTCTGCAGCAATTAGATGTCTTGCGAAGGCTCGACAGGGTTGGTTATTTACCCTTCTACAGGTATTCACAATCGTGATTATATTTGTTACATGGATATTATTTTTTTCTAAATTTGTGATTTAAATTTACTCATTCAAAAGGCTGATGTCCTTCAGAAATTTGATGTCTTCACATGATTTGCAACTCTCCTCTCTCTCTCTCTCTCTCTCTCTCTGATAGACATCTTAAAAATATCTTTTTCTCCTGTGTTTTAGTGGAATAGTTCTCTAACAAATTGGTTCATACGTATAGGGGTGCACACAGGTTGGGTTGGTTGGTTGCGGTCTGTACCAAAGCCCCAGAAGGAGCCCACCCAAGTCGGTTCCAGAAAATTGAACCTTGGACTGAATTATTATATTTTATTAATCATATACTTGAAGTACAACATTATCAATAGATTAAAAAATAATGGCTGCTTAATTGGGCTGGCCTCATGAGTCTGTTTTTTACCTGTTAGTAGGCTTAATTAATTAGAGGCCTAGGATGAATCTTACACTGAAGGTAGAGGGAGCGATGTGAATCTTTCAAAATCAAGGTGAATAAGGCCCAAGCTGAATCTTTCAAAATCAACCTGGTATCCGATGTCATCTGTGTTCCTCAAATCTTGGAAGCCTGGTTTAAGCACAGTAAAACCAAATCAATAAACTTGAATTGGTCAGTTTCAGCCCTGGTCTTAGTTTCACCAAGTCATGCACTGCCATTGGGTATTTTACGTTGCCTATGGGCTGCACATGGAAAAGCAAGATTGAGTTGTTGCTGGGCATGATGTGTTTCTGCAGGAAATGAATTTATTATTCCCTATATAATGTACACACCATAGCTTTTGAGCTTTCTGCTAGTTCAGTAACTTTAACTACTGCATGCCCTGTACAGGTTTCAGAAGTAAATTTAGTGGAAGGAGATGGTGAATTCTCCAAGGTAGTGAAAACGCTGCAAGCAAAGGCCAGGCTAGTTCAGATTGGTTCCATCCCACCGAGTGAGCTGGGAAAACTGAAAGCTTATCTATTGAACACTAGATCAGATGGTTAGTTTTTCACAGAATTGTAACCTAGATGTAATTTAGGGAAACTATATTTAATAATCAGTAAATTCTGAAACTGGAATCTTTAGATTTTATTTCTTCACCGAGTTAAAAGGAGCATTATTGTGTTTCATGCCTTTATAGTCAAAAACTTCACTTTCTGATTACATCTTGACTTTTTATCTTTGCAGGTATTTGGGATGTTCTGGTAGAAGTTGTAGCAACTCTGCAACATGTTGAAGGAAGTATAAAAAAACAGTGGCTTGTTGATGCAGTGGAAAGTAGCTGTGTAACAATTTATCCTTCCACGGTAGGCCCAATTCTTCTAATATGTTATCGTTACTTTTTGAAATTGATGTGGATTGTCCCAAAACTTTAATCTGTTTACTCTGGCACAAATGCACGATACATGGTAGTATTTTGTATCAGAAATCATGTATGTAGTGCTGAAATTGAGTGCGTTGGTAATTGAAAACATGCTGCCTTCATCTCCCAATTATTCTGTTCATTTTAATGGGATGTTATTTTCATTGCCCAACTATGAAAGTAATGTGTACTATATAAGCGTGAGGGCATCCCCACTAAATAACTAGCTTTTGGGATTAAGTTCAACCAGGGATAGGTAGGGTGCATATCCCTAGCTTGCATGTGGTGGGTGCTACCAAGTGAGGGAGGGAGGGTGTGTGATGTGAAGTCTCACATTTCTTGGTAATGCAAGAGATCCCAAGATTGGTACCTCCTTTTTCATCACCCACTACACACGAAGTGTAGGACTTCTAAAGTAAAGTGCAGTATATAAACGTGAGGGCACCCCCACCTTAACAACTAACTTTTGGGGTTGAGTTCTATGTTGTTAATATGTTCATAGCAGTTTCTCTTTGGGGCTTGTTGGCTCCTACTGCACTTTTACAATACCTTAGCTTCTTTTTTAATGGTGTCATTGAAGTCTTTCTATTGAAAAACTAGGTTATGAGTTATCAACTGGCTTACATTTTTCAGATGAATTTTAGTGGGTTACACCTGCTAACAGCTTGAAAACTTCATTGCACCTGTATATTTATCCTTGGTTCCCTGCAAGCTCTGCGTTTCGTTGGTATGCTCTGTGGTAGCTGCTCCAAGTATATGCCTCTCCTAGTTGTGGACCGACACACGGTGTTGAGTGACCTACCGGTTACCCTTTCATCTCTTTTATCAGATAGCAGCTGGGGGTTGGTTGCAGAGTCTGTCGCTTCGTATTTGTGGGCATCCACAGTGAGAATTTATGATTGGGCCATGCGTATAGCACGCAGTGATGATTCAC